CTTCTTCTTCTTCTTCTTCTTCTTCTTCTTCTTCTTCTTCTTCTTCTTCTTCTCCTTCTCCTTCTCCTTCTCCTTCTCCTTCTCCTTCTCCTATCATCGTACGACTGCACTTCTCCTGGCTCCAACGAACAATATTATGGCGGGACCATTTCTTTTCTCTCTGTCTTTTCCTTTTGAGGTCTCTGTCCGTTATCAGGTCAGGTAGCTCCCTATGGCACTGACCCCCCCCCCCCTTTTTGTGTGTTTCTCGCTCTCTGTCTCTCGTGTGAGTTTTCGTGTCTTCTCTTCCTGGTTCGAGATCGTATTCAGCCCGGCCATGCACTGGAGATCAGGGTCTATGCGAGTACGAGTTCGAAGATTGATCGATCAATTTTATTGTTTGGTTTATTGAGAAATTGATCGAACAATTTTTTTTCAACCTAGGAAATCGCTTAAATCCTGTTCGCAACTGCATGTATCAATCCGTTCTAGGCCAAGTGGCGATGCAAGAACCACGGCAGTCGAAAAGATGAGAGTGGCTTCTCTGTGTGACACTGTTTATTTCATTTAAATTTTAAAAAAGTGGAGGTCGTGGCCTAGAGGTTAAGATGTTGGCATCTCATTCAGAGGTCCCGGGTTCGGTTCCGGGTAGCGACCGAAAAATTTTTTCTTATCTAAAATGTTTTCTTTCACCTTCTTTCCTGCTCTTTAGCAATGTTCTATCGTTTGCTTTCGTCTCCACTTCCTGCCCCCACCCCAGCACCTCCTTTGCCCCCTTCTCTGGGCTCCTGACTCTTTTTGCACCATCTCCACTGCTACTCCTTGGCTCCTCCTAACTGCTGTCTTTCTGCCACACCCCTGATCTTCTGGTAGGAAAGATCTACACCTAGCCTTCTCGAACAAGGGCGAAAAATCTCCGAGGTCCCGTGTGCAAGTTGTGCTCGTTAAAGATCCCTTGGGGGTCCAAAATCAATAAGAGTAGGCTTCGGCCGCCACCCGGGCAAAATTCAAAATTTCCTACCAACTGAAAATGTTTAGTGTGTCCCGCGATCATATGACATTATGTAGTTGCGAGTGCCGTGAAACACTTACAAATAAAAAAAAAAGTCTTCAGCTTTCTGTCTTTGCAACTTAGGCAAAGATAAATACGTTCCATATGGGGCTCTCGTGGCCTAGAGGTTAAGGTGTTGGCCTCTCATTCAAAGGTCCCGGGTTCGAATCCGGATTGCGACCGAAAAATTTTCTTCTCTAAAATTGTCTCCTTTCACCTCCTTTCCTGCTCTCTAGCAATGTTCTGTTGTCTGCTTTCATTTCCACTTTCTGCCCCCACCCCCTCACCTCCTTTGCCGCCTCCTCTAGGCTCCTGACTCTTTCTACAGCCTTTCTACTGCTGTCTTTCTGCCACACCCCTGATCTTCTGGTAGGAAAGATCTACACCTAGCCTTCTCGGACAAGGGCGAAAAATCTCGGAGGACCCGTGTGCAAGTTGCGCACGTTAAAGATCCCTTGGTGGTCTAAAATCGATAAGAGTAGGCTTCGGCCGCCACCTGGCCAAAATTCAAAATTTCCTACCAACTGAAAATATTAGGTGTGTCCGGCGCGCTCATATGACCGTATGCAGTTGCGAGTGCCGTGAAACACTTTACAAATATAAAAGTCTTCAGCTTTCTGTCTTTGCAACTTAGGCAAAGATAAATACGTTCCATGAGTCTTTTAAAAAGATATTTGATTTGCTTCAAATTTAGCTTTTGATAAATGTCATGCTCGGTCAAGAAGCTATTGTCGTTAATGTATGTGTGAACACACGTTTTGCTTGGTTAAACGAGTCATTTGTGGGCGGTTGGCGGGTGCTCTGGTGTGGTCTGCTCCTTCTTTCCTATCTAACATCTGTCGTCCTTATCTCACCTCCTTCTTTTTTGTGTTTGTTACTCTCTTGTAACGCATAATCTATTCTTCGGCACTTATATGACCTTATTGTGTTGCAAGTGCCGTAAAACTCTTACTAAAACTAAACAAGTCATTTGTTCGGTCTATTGCATCCTTACTGAAAACGCCTCTTCAGTGGGAGGAAAGAATATCTGTCTATGTCTCCTTAGCACGGGTGATTGGAGGGCGGCACTGGTAGCTCCTACTTCTCTACGTTCCCTCTGCTCTTTCTGTCTGTCTGTTGTCTTGTTTTGTGTGGGTGGTTGGCGGGTGCTCGGGTGTGGTTTGCTACTTCTTTCCTATCGAACATCTATCGTCTTTATCTCCCCTCCTTCTTTTTCGTGTTTGTTACTCTATTGTAACGCCTCTAATCTTCGGCACTTATATAACCTTATTGTGTTGCAAGTGCTGTAAAACACTTCGTAAAACACGTCTTGTTTTTTCCCCGCACTGAATGACCGTTATTGTCGGTGTGCTTCTCGTTAATCGAACAAACGAACAAACGTCACCGGTGACGCAGCCTGTCTCAAACAAACAAACAAGCAAACAAACACGCAAATAAACAAGCAAACAAACAAACAAACAAACGAACAAACAAACGAACAAACGTCACCAGTGCCACAGTCTTGTCTTCATGGAAGGGAATAAAGGGAAGGGGAGGGAGATGTGTGTGTGTGTGTGTGTGTGTGTGAGTGTGTGTGTGTGTGTGTGTGTGTGTGTGTGTGTGTGT